TATATCCAAGATGTATCTTTGTATTCCACTGACCACAAATGTATTTGAAAAGTTGATTTCACCATACACATTAATTAGAATCTTGCTTCCCAATGCTTTCACAATGGAATCACTTGAGATAGCTACAGGATAACAGTTTAAATGAGAAGTTGTGTCTGAAATAATTCTACCATGGCCTTCATGCAGTATAGATGGTCATAGCTTCAAAATTCCTTACCTCCCCTTCATTCTCTTTCTGTTTCTCTCATCTTTATTTCTCCTAGCTGGTCCCTTTCTGATCTCTCTAGATATAAACTTGAGATTTGTAGTTAGTCCTCCATGTCTTGACAGTAGCAATTCAAGAGAATAGACAGCACTCCAAAGTGCCTAGAATTTGAGAACTAAGTTTAAAATGAGAAGTTAATTTTCTTTATTTCATAGATGAAGACTCAGAAATTGGCTAAGCGGTGTAAATTTAATGCACGTAAGTGTCTGTGTCAGAATTAAATATGACTATAGTAAATCTCAGAAAAGCCCTGGGACTTTGTCTGAGGGAGCCATGAAGCAGCCCACAGCCAGACAGGAGTGCAAACCAATGCATGATAGACTATATCAATAAACAGTGGTTCTCAGGACAAACTAGGAGCCCATTAAGAAGGGACAACAGACCAGGAAGAAGGCAGTTTAAAGAGTTCCCCATATATTCACCAGGGGAAAATTCTCATCCTACTTAGAAAATAAACATTCAAGTTTTATTTCCTATTGATTTAGAGACTAGGTTGCTCATTATCAAGCACTGACTGGAAACTGGATATAAGGAAATTTTTGTAGGATTCATTACAACAGCAGTGTCTAGTAGAAAGAACAATCTTTGCATTGGATAATCCTTAATTTAAATCCCAGTGACTTGTTCTACTAGCTGTATGATCATGGGTTCATCTTTTTAAGCCTCATTTTCCTCATCTACAATGGTAATAAGGATATCAGTTATGATGGAACAACGTAATATTTGTAAAACATCTGCTGCATTGTGAGCTCAATGAGTCAATGTTTTCTTTTTATTTCTGTACAACACTGAAAGATACATTATTTGAAAAACACAATATGTGGGGCTGGGATTGTAGTTCAGTGGGAGAGTGCTTGCCTAGCACATGTGATGCACTGGGTTTGATCCCCAGTACCACATTAAAAATAAATAAATGAAAGAAAGATAGTGTATCCATCTACAACTAAAAAATTTTTTAAAAAAACCTACATATTTTATCTCATTAAGAGAATTAGACTCAGCATGCTCCATTTGTTGAAAAAGTTAACAGATATCTGATACACTTTTTTCAGTGCTATTGCACATAAAATTCCATAATCCATGGACAGATAGTTTTGTCCAGAGTCACAGAATATTTGTTGGAAATGTCATGCAAAGCTGGTGACTCTATCAATGAAGGACATGATTCTATATAAACTTGCTGTTGGAGTTATATCTGAATTCTTATTTTCTACAGGAAGGTGAAGAGCAAGATAAGAAAATAAAATAATTAGGGCTCTGAAAAATTATAATACATCTTTGGTAAACTGCATTTGGCAATTAATCTCAGATGGCCCAAGGAAATGCAAGCACAAAATTCCAAAATAAGGATACCACCATAACTAAATGCTCATGTGGAACTTCTGTACAAAATAAGCTCATGGACTAAAATTTACAATGAATGTGGA